AACCAGATATCTGAGAGGGGAGCATTGACCACTAGGTGCTGTTGTCTCTGAGGGCCTGTGATGGGGCTGATTCTTCAAGTGGGGAGAAAAATGCAAAGTAGATTAAATTGCTGGAACTACTGGAACCATCTGCCTGCCAAATGTGAAAATGCTGGGCTGGGGTGAAGCAGACAGAAGCAGGAAGTAGACTGAAAGCTCAAAGGAGGCAAACAGCCTCCAGCCTTGCAGGCTCCCTCTAGCTCCTCCTGTTGGCAGAGCCTAACTGGCCGTGCAGCCTGGCAAAGCAGAAATGGGGTTTGCAGTCCTAACCCCAGAACCGCACACTCATTTACTGCTCATTTACTGGCATATTGGAAAATGCTTACATTGGACAATAGGGATTATGTTTGATGTGATTTTAAAATTTGGGCCTATGTAGTTGAGGATGTCAGAGTATTAGAACCATTAACTGTGTTTTTGCTTCAAAATCTATCTTAAAAGGAATATATATATTAAATATTGGATTAAATAGTATAGTGCAAGTAAAATACTTTCTATATGAACCTTTGAAGTCATTTTTTTACACTAATTTACTTAATCTGCTTTTCTGTATGTGAAATTATTTGGCTTAAGTGTAGTAGGCATATTCTTTTAAGTGATCGGTTTTTGCAAAACTAAAATTTGCTGTGCTCTGTTTTTACTGCAGATATACACGCACACATAGATATGACTTGAGGTATAAGAAACACGTTAGTAAAGCTGATTGAATTTTCACCTCTTTTGCAAGCATGGCCATGTTTCTTACTTTGCATGTCCTTCAGGCCTCATCAGAGCACAAAGTTTCAAGTGACTTCAAAGGGTTTCCTGCACTCAGATCAGCTCTATGGGGCATGTAGGAAGATGAGAAATGAACCAACACTAGAGGTGCAATGAAAGGTAAAAATCCTAGCACTACCACAGCACTTCAGCTGAGCAGCAGACTAAATTACTGCACCTGGGTATAGGGATCTCATGGGTTCATGAAGGAAAAGATGGTAAGCATTTAAGGCAGAAAGTAAATTTATTTTTTATTCATTGAATTTAGGGAAAGTGTTCCTCCAAACATAGATAACATTTAGTTATTATTATTATGAAAATCTGTCAGCTTTCTTGTTTAGAGAGGGAAATAACAGATAAATGTAAATGATCAAAATTAAAAGGAAAATATAGTACCTTGCTGTGGTGCTTACCTGTAGGACAACAGGAATTCCACATATGCTATTTGGATGAAAACAGGTCCTTCCACATCTGATATATTTTTTGTAATCTTTATAGTTACAGTGTTAAGAGTTCTAGGGATATTGAGGAATTGACAACAAACCCAAACACATATAAAAGAAATCCTGTATCCATTTGTATCAGCCTCTCTCTTCTCTGCAAGATTGGGCATGGGAAAGGGAAGGAAGAATAGGTACCAAATGAAGGTGGAATTCAGATGCTATTTCCTCTGACACAAATTCTTACATTAACTCCTTATAAATCATCAAGAATAAAGTTTAACACGGTTTTTACGTACATAGAAATGTTAAGAAAAGCTAATATCACAGAGTGAAGTGGTTTATGGTTTTAGGTAGATTGTGTATGCATTTGATAAAAATTATGAAGACTTGAGTTTTTGAGAGCTTATTTATTCAGATAATTCTGATTTGATAATCATCAGTCTGAAATTCCTTTTCCAGAATCAGGATTTTTATTCCCTATCAATTCAAATATTTGATCTTGTGGATTTTTAAACTTTTCCTTTATTTTCTGAGGTTTTTCCCTTTCGCAGTTATCACGTTAAGGGTTCTTAGAGCTCATATTGATATTACTTTACAGTTAATTGATAACGGCCTGGGATTAGGAACCATCAGAGACTTTTGGAAAGCTACTATAAGCAGGAACAAGTTTCTCTTCTGCTTTTAGCTAAATGACATAAGATATCTTTTGAATATGAACACAAGAGCAGCCGTACCTCATTCTTTATGCTTATCCTTGATCAACATTCCCACTGGAATATCACTTCATCTGGAATTGACAGTAAAGATTGAGTGAGATATATATTAAGATCAACAAAATTAATTCTTAAAATTATTAATTCTCCTGTCATGTCTAAAATGATTGCTTGTAAAACAAAATTACATGGACGTATTGTTTAAAACCAGCCATGTTCCATCACTCTTTCTCACCATCCCAATACTTTCTCTGTAATGCTTGAGCAACCACTCTGTCTAGTTTGTGTATTCTGTAGTCTGCTTCCCTCCCTGTTATCAGGGTCCACTTTTACTAGAGATTTAGAATATTACTAGTAGCTGGGATGAAATTATGTGGTTAGAAGAGATTTTCTATAATTGGCAAAAGATTTCCTCCTCCACAGTGCTAAGTTTTTTGTTTTTTTTTTCTTCTTTAATTCTGGGATTTGACTTCTCGGTACCATTTGAAGTTTACAGTGTTTTGTACCTCTGGCAATTTTCCAAATGCCTGACAGTTCAACTGGTTTCTCATTGCAGCCACTGCTGCCACCTTGTTCTCTACTTTTACTTTTTGAAATATCCTCCACCCCAGTTTCATATGCAATTCTTTGTAAAGAGACTCTGCTTTTCACCACTCCAAAACCCACATCTCCAGATCTGCTCTCTCTTCTTCATGCTCCACTATTTCTGTTTGAGTAATCAACTTTCACCATAAGTTTATTTTATGAACCTTTGAAGGAACAGTGCTAAAGCCCACCTGTGTGGCCCAAGGACGAGAAGTCTAGATGAGGAAGGAATTCTGTTAAGGCGAAAACAGTAAGATTTTTCCCCAGTCTAGTACCTATGGATTTATTATTCATATACTAGTAAAATAAGAAACAAAAATTTAAAAGGAAGTCATTCTAACTGGAGGGTGTACAGAGAGGACAAGGCATCAGTGGTGTCACTGCCAACAGCCTCAGAAACGTCAGGAGCCAGGGTCATCTCCTTTGGTGTCGGTTTTCAGAATTCCTTGTTAACACTTCTGGCACAGTCAGTCATTGACGGAATTAGCAGCGCTCTCAGTACCTTCCAGTGTACTAGCAAAACAGCCCCTTCAATAGACACTGGCAAGAATTTCAATAATTTGCTTCAGAGGGCTTGATTTTAAAAACTGGAAGTAACTAGAAAAATGATAGCTGTCATATGAATCACACTTAAGAGGTCTAGAATTTGGAGCACAGGTAAAAGACCCTACAGCAACGTGCAAAACTGGGTGGAGATTGAGAGGCATTTTTGGAATTCTTATATAATGTGCAGGAATGGAATGAAAATAATACTATATTGTCACATTTATTGTAGCTCGTTTACTTCTTATCCAGTGTACCTTGTGAGATGCAAGCCACATAAAATTCTTATAGTCTGTCATTCTTGATGTTCTTGATTTTCTTGCTGTGATGGTAAATGGATGCTCAGTGGGA